GTTTTCTTCGCCATTTTGGCGCTATTCACTAACTTCCATTATTTTGACTAGAGCTAAATGAATCATCGTGAACTGCGTTTTCCTCTCAAGAACCAACTCATTTCGTCATTATACAACCTACCAAAAACATAATTATCCGGACGAAACAACTGTCCAAATGGTCCTGCGCGTACCGAGTCCATGGTACCAGGTTCGAGATCCACTAGTACTGCTCTAAAACAGGAAAGTCTTCAGGCTTCACTCTTGTTCCCTACTGTGTCATCAACTTTACTGGTGAGAACTAATTGAATTTTGCTCGTAGCAAACAGTTTTTCAGTGTCTCATTTAGGCCTGCTGAGCAGCTGTTACTCCATACATGTCTGACATGCAATTCAATGAGATACTGGCCGGGTGGCTAGGCCGTGGACAGGCAGCGGGCTCTATTAGGCATTCATGGCTTGTGAGCCTGATCCTCATGAGCTTCCATTCAATGCATTCCTGAGTATGATCAAAAAATTGCAAGGTAGCAGGTTTTGGACGAATACCACCACGATGAATTTGGAGATCTTTCTCTTCATAGTGCTTCAAACTAACTTTCAAATAAGTGGATCGCCGTGGCTCAGCCAAAACCACCTTTTCCTGAAACGTTTGGTTACTTTTCGAAGGCGACCACCCGGTCGGTGCTAAAATGGATTTTGGGTTGTGTAGAAAACCCATCGGAACTAGCACACGGATGCAGCTGTTTGTTAGGTGCTGAGAGGGGTGATTTTTCATTGAAAACTAATCGACACCAATGCACTAAGGACCGTTTATTTTTGTCTCTCGAATCAATAACAACGTGTTTATTTCTAAAAGCGCATTTTACCCAGCAGCAGCTTTAAGCACCACCCTCGGGTAAGATACTCTTGGGATCCAGCTCTACTCTGGCAAGCAGCTACTGAGTAGTAACAGTTGCGTGTGTTCCGGGACAGATGCGACCGAAACTGTTCTATGTAAATAGCTTTGAAGATGTACATATAATAAATATGTAATAATAATAATTTAAAGGTCTGAAGAATCATAATAGACTGCTACGACTCAGAGAACGAGTTCTGAAGACGTGGGTAAGAAAGTTAGCATGTGAAGTTCATACTGTAAAAAGCGGAGAACTGACAGAAAGAACATTAGAATTAAGACAACTTCGAATTCTATTTTTGTTTTTTTTTTT